GAAAACTGAAAATAATTTTTCAAACGGTAACACTCTTAAAAATTATTTTCTAAATGGAAAACATAATCATTTATCATCTAATCTATTTAGTTATATGGCACATATAACCACATTATTATGATTATCACCTTCTTTTACTTATCAACATCTTCTCTCTTTTCTACTTTTTTTTTTTTTTTTGAAAGTTACTGGTCCTATTACATTGTAGTATCTGAGGCTCGAACTCATAATCTTCCAAATGGAAGTCCAACCCGGGTACCATTAGACCACATAGTCCTGGTCTCTCTTTTCTACTTACTTTACTTATTTAAACATAACTTGTTTGCTTACACTTTAGGGGGCGTTTGGTTCAGGTTATATAACATAACCAAGGGAATGTGACATTCCAAAGCTCACATTCCGGTGTTTGGTTCATATTATCTTAGGGAATCTAACATTCCCAAGGAATGTCACATTCCCTCCACATAGGATTTTGAAGGGAATGTGATTCCCTTCAAAATCTTAGGTAATGTAAGATAACCTTGGTTATGTTAGTTTACTTTATATATATATATATATATATATATATATATATATATATATATATATATATATATATATATATAATTATTTTTGTAATTATATATATATATTTTATTGTTATTATGTTATGTTAGCTTATAAAATAATTTTGTTTCTTAAATTCAAGATTTTAGTTAATATTTTAAAATCATGTAATTATATATGATACCGTTATCTTATTTAATTTATTTTAATTTTTAAATTTATTAAAATATGTTAAGGATATTATAGTTTGTATAAAAGATAACCCTAAACCAAACATCATTATATTACATACCCCAATTTTAACCAAACACAGGAATCTTACATTCCCAGTAATCTAACATTCCCAGCAATCTAACATTCCCTAAGGTAATCTTACATTCCGTGAACCAAACGACCCCTTAAAGTTAGATAGTATTCACATTATCAAAATTTAGAATTGAACTCTATACAATGTTTTAGATTTTGATTGAACTTAATAGATTATTAGTTCAGATATATTTAGTTGTGTTATATCGTAATACAAGTTCGATCTGTATATCAGATATTGAAATATCACATATTTATATAAATGTCATTCAAATGAATATATTCAAAAATATTTTAAATATTAGCTCAAAAAATATTAATATTATCTAAACTAAATTTTAGGTGCACTTAGTGAGTTATTAGTTCGTATATATTTTTTAGTTATTATGTTGTCAGAATATTTGTAATTTGCTTAAGGCTTCTCTACCTGATCGTACGTATGCAAGTTGTGTTCTCGAGGAGTGCCGATTACTTCAACGACACTTTGCTAATGTGTCTATTCAGTTTATCTCTAGATCAGTGAATAAAGTTGCTCATGCTTTAGCTAGGGCGGCTCGTTATCAATCTGGTCCCATTGTTTGGACTTCTTCTATTCCGAGTTGTATTGAACATCTGATTTAATGTAGTGCTTTTATTAGTTTTCAAAAAAAAAATGTAAAAATCTTACATATGTTGGACTTAAAAGTATTTAAAAAAAATCATTTAAACCAAACATATGTAAAAAAATATTTTAAATATAAAATCTAAAAATTACTTGAAATTAAATTTGTGTTAATTTTATAATGTTCATCTTTAAAAAAAAATTGAAAAAATATGTGTTAGTAAACAAATTTTCTAAACAGAAAACAAAGAATGAAAACTGACAAATTAAAAAATAGAAAACAGAGAATATTTTTTTTGTTAATAAACGAGCCCTTAGATTTTGAGCCATAAGTATTTTGACTACAGTTCAAAAAAAAATAAAAATGCATTAAAACACGATAAAAAAAATTCAAAACAAGAACATAGTTCGAATAAAAATTATGTTATAAATCACTCATCTCACTATTACTATTTAAAATAAAATCCCAATATTAAATATAAATAATCCAATTAGAATTAAAAATTAATCTCATAAATCACAATTATAATCTTACTATAATTTTAAAAGCTAAAAAAAATAGAAAATCAATGCCTTAAGTTTCAAACCCATGATAGTTCACACACCAACATAGACCTAACTATCTAATTTAACTCATTCTTTGGTTAAGGTTTGATACATTTAGTATTTATGCATGTTTACTTTGTATATATAAGGAACTTATACATACAATATATAAAGGGGGTGAGAGGGGCAATGAAGATAAATCTGCAAGTAAAATACTAAAATGATGGTAAATATAGAGAATTGATGGGACAAAATGCTATGCCAGATTGATTTGTTCATACAATAAAGGATTTGAACTCTTGAATCTTTTAAGAGATAAGAATGCACGACGATTCATGTCAAACAAGCTGGTTGCTTGTATAGTCCTTTTAGGTAAATATTATTGGGGATTCAACCTTTGGGAAGAAGGTAAATATGTGAGCTGACTGATGGATTAATTACGCGACTCGCGATTTACATCCGTAATAATTCTAGATGCAGTGAAACTAGAATCACCTAAGTTTAATTTTTTTTTTTTTAAGTGTAAATATGTGAGCTTGTTCAATTCACTACTTTCTACGCATTATTATACATTTTGAAACATTTATCACACATTATTACAATAAAAATAAATTTCACTTTTGATCCTTTCACTATTGTATATATATTAAATTTGGTCCTTAATTATTAATATTTTTCAAATTCGGTGCATACCTTTGTAATTTGTATTACATTTAATAATAACATCCAATTTTTTTCGTCGACTAGTTACCTCGTAGAACCAACCTTGACGATACTCAAAAACAAAATTAAACAATAGTTTTAAAATATAATGTTGCCAGGTTGGGTAATATATTTAACCTATTATTATACTTAACGTCTTAACCCACCTAGCTTGATTGTATCAATAGCCCAATACAAGAACAATTTGATCAATAACAAAGGAGCTAAGGGCTGAGCAAGCAAAGGCATGACCCGTGACCGCAAGTTAAGTGACAAGGAAGCCAAAGTCAAGATTCAAGAAGTCGGCCAACTTCCAATGACTCCACGCTACCAATCTCAATTTCATCCCCATCCTCAAATCCTCAAAATAATCGCAGTACCAAAAACCAACAAAAGCAAATGGACGACGGGCTGGCACGGGGTCGCCGTCAAGTGCCCAGCGTCTCAACTCTCAAGTCCAATTTCGCAATAGTTATGCTGTGCAACCGCATGGTGTACACGGTTGCAAAACGACGTCATTTTGACTAAAAACGCGCGTCTCATTAAAAAAAAAAAAATCAGTTTCGATTCCCCTCAACAACATTATTGTGGATATATAGTTATGAATTATTGTGAATATATAGTTATAAATTTGTGAATATATAGTTATGAATTTATGGATATTTAGTTCATTTATTGTGATATTTAGTTCATTCATTCTGGATTTTGTGTTATTCATTCACTATGGATATATAGTTATGAATTTGTGGATATATAATTCAAATTATGCACAAAAAAATGCTATTGCTGGGAATCGAACCTGATTTTTTTTAAAAAATAAGACGCACGTTTTTAGTCAAAACGACGTCGTTTTTGCAAATAATGCACACGGTTGCACAGTATAATTTGCGCCAATTTCGACCCCCCCCCCCCCCCCTTTTTTTTTTTGGCAATCTCGACCCGTTTAATCCTCGACAAATCATGTAATATTGTAGGTGATAAGATTTTTAAGATGGACATAAATACATAATTGAGCTGGAATGAACAACGGTAGGTGGGAAGAAACAAGTGTTGCAATCATTTGAAGTTTGCACTTCTGTGCTCGATAAAATGCATTCCACTACAGCCACTAGCTAGCTACCGGGCCCATGCCCTCACATGTCAATTCTAACTCTACGTGTGATATTTGTAAATGATAAAATGCATTCCACTACAGCCACTAGCTAGCTACCGGGCCCATGCCCTCACATGTCAATTCTAACTCTACGTGTGATATTTGTAAATGTTATTTTAAAGGGAAAATGACACTTTTTCCCCCTTTATTATATATTTATAGTACTTTTTTTCTCTAAATTATTTAAGTGACAGTTTTTCTCCCTGATATATTAAATGGACATATTTATCCTTAAAATAAATATTTCATTTATTTTTCTTCTCCAATAAATTATAACCACGATTTGAAAAAATAAAATACATTAAGTGTTGAATTTAGAATATTTTAAAAATAAAAAAATAAAATTTTAAAAGAAAGTTTGAACCAACCGTTCAAATTGGATCCAAAATTGTGAACCGACGGTTCAAAATAAAACTCAAACCGCGATTATATATACTTATATGTGAGAGTCAATATAAATGCGGAAAAAAACATACACTATTTGCAAATATTATAATTCTAATTTAAGCTATTGCTAGTAGTTGTTCCGATTTGAACCTCCGGTTCACGGTTCAGAATTCATTTTTTTTCAGTTCACGATTTTAATAAACGGAAACCCAAATATTGGGTTATGTTATGAATCATAACCGAATTTTTTTAATTTGATTGCTATAGTGTTTGGTTCAGTTCGAACCGAACCGTGGTCATCCCTACGTATAAGCAATAATTTGTTGAAGAAGAGAAATAAATAAAATATTTGTTTTCTTTCAAAAAAAAAAATAAATAAAATATTTGTTTTAAGAGTAGAAATGTCCATTTAATATTATCAGGGGGGGAAACCGCCACTTCTATAATAATTGAGGGCGGCAAATGTGAATGCATGAATAACTCGGAGGGAAAAAGTGCTATAAGCATATAACACAGGAGAAAAAGTGTCATTTTCCTTATTTAAACAAATAACTATCCAATACATTTGTGGTCGAGTGACCTAACCAAGCTGGTTAGGATAATTTTTCAATTAACTGGATAATTTTTCAATAAACTCGCCAACGCGTTTACATTAGGTGAAGTAAGACTAAATCCAAAAAAAAAAAAAAAAAAAAAAAACTAAATCCATATCATCAATTGATTGATCGTACGGTCCTAAAATTTTCACATTTGTCAATTAATAAAAGAGAAATCTGCTTCACTGTGTACCTTCTTCTCTCTCTGCATTCTTTCCAAGTCGTATCTGGTCCATATCGTACCACCGCAGACTCTCCCATGGCGGAATCCCCAAACGGAACTCTGTCTCAATCTCAGGCTTATGCAGGGTCTGACCCGGATACGTTGCAGTACTGGTGCTATCACTGTGATAAACGGGTCTCCATTGAAACCATAGCGGATCTTCCTGATGTTATCTGCCACGAGTGCAAAAACGGCTTTGTGGAGTCCATCGCCGCCGTTGCTGCGCCTCTTCCAGCCCCAGAAGCGGCACCTGATCAGATCGACGAGGCTAATTTCAGCAATCAGTTCTTCCAAGTCCTTCGCCTAATCGCTCAGGCCGCGCGTGAGGACGACACTCCTCCTCCTCCGCCGTCTGAGCACGCGGATCCATCCGATGACGATTATCTCCGAGTTGAAATCGGAGGGTGGGACAACGGCGACGAGGATGAGGACGACGAAGTGGAAGGCAGAAATGAGGATGAAGAAAATCAAGACCTAGAGGAGGAGAATCGAAACGAATCGGATGAGGAAGACGACGATGACGAAGGGGACGAGAATCACGGCGAGAGAGAGGAAGAGGATTTCCGGCGAAGGCAGCGCGATGTGCTCCGTCTTCGGCTTCGCGACCTCGCGGCTCGAGCTGCTAGCCGCCGCAATCGGATTCTCGATTGGGCGGAGATTCTGATGGGGCTCGAAGACCACTCAATCGAGTTCCGATTACAAGTTCCTGAGGGCGATGGCTACTTTGGAAACCCTGGCGATTACGTGGACGCTGCAGGCTACGAAGCCTTACTGCAAAACTTAGCTGAAAGTGATAATGGTGGAAGACGGGGAGCTCCGCCAGCTTCAAAAACTGCCATAGAAGCTTTGCCTACAGTCGTGATTAAAAGCGAGCTGGAGGAACTAGTCTGTGCTATATGCAAAGATTCTGTAAGCACAGGTGAAACGGCAAAGGAATTGCCATGTGGTCATAGATATCATGGGGAATGTATAGTGCCATGGTTGGGTTCCAGGAATTCATGCCCTGTTTGTAGGTTTGAGTTAGCTACAGATGATCCCGAGTACGAAGATGAAAGAAAGAGCAAACCTTCCAACTTTTCCTCCAGTTCTTCCACTGCTGCAGCCAGCAGTGAAGGATGTGATTGACTTATCATGGTAAATCTACCTTCTCATTCATTCGCACTCCTTTTTACCTCCAATTTTAGATTTCCTGTTCTTTTATCAGAACTCCTTGTGGATTAGTTGGATGAAAGTGCTGTAATCTTTGAATGTAAATAAGTTCTTCCAATACACAGCTTCAAAATTTACCTCTTAAGTGCAATTTATAGTTTTATAATTTAATCTGTGTTTGGTGTTTACTGCCTACTTCTGCCATGGTAATTTGATGATCCCCCACTGTGCTAATCTCACTAGATGAATATTCTTTATGTAATTGTGGTGTTTGGGTATACCAAAACATGATTCTGTTTATCCTTCCAAGTAATTGCTTGAGTTACTCATTGTTAATCCAATTACCAGCTACAAATCAAAGCTAATTTCTGTGTGCAGACACGATGTGCATATTGTATACTAAAGATGTAGTGTAAAATCTTGGATCTTGCACACTTGTGCATGAGTATTGTGTTTTGATTTCAATTTTCAAGAGCATTGAGATTGCAGGAATAAGCTGGAGAAACTAGGTAGCCAGGTAGGCATGATATTTTGCTCACTGATATGGTTACAATTGAGAAAGTTTATTGGTCTTGTTGGGTGTTGCCTTGTAAACTTTACCCGCAAAGAAACACAAGGAGATAAACCAACTTAGCTTTGTTCATATTTGACCAACTTAAATCAAGAAGGTCAATAGGCTTTTCCCGCTAAGAGTCGAACTTGTAATTTTGTGGGTATTAGTTTTAGAATTGAGATTTGAGAATGGATTGACTTTTCCCGCTAAGAGTCAAACTTGTAATTTTGTGGGTATTAGTTTTAGACTTGAGATTTGAGAATGGTGTATGTTATTGATTTGGAGTTTCAGGAAAATGGGGAGCATTAGCTTTAGACTTGACTCTTGAGAATGGTGTATGTTATTGGTTTGGAGTTTCAGGAATCCTGCCATTCTTCCGGAGAAAGAGCTCATTTGCAATTGCAGGGCAATAAATTGATGTTTTTTGAGAGCAAAACCAGATAGGTGAGCTTTGGACTGATCTCAGGTGTTCAAGTTGATGCACCATATATATTAAGTATATATACATACATTACACAGCCAGAATAAGACACCCATCATCCAAATGAGTTAGTCCTGTTTTGCAGTGGCCATGAATTTGGTGGAGATCTACACTTGAAACAAGCATTAACTAGTACACATTTTTATCATTTGCATTTGCCTGGCCTGCTCCATATCATCAGAGAGGGAGGATAGTAGCGGCGGAATCAGGAGGATTGGTTAGCATGTGAACAACTTCTCGCATGGTAGGCCTGTCGCGGCTCTCATCCTCGACACACAACATTGCAACCTTGAACAGGTTGATCACACCCTGCAGCGGGTAGCCTTTCAGCCGAGAGTCTACCACTGCTAGCACCGCAGCTGCATCCGACGGTTGAGAGAGCTCGGAAATCGTCTTCCTCACCCACCTTACTATATCCACCCCATCTCCAAACTCACCCACCGGCTTACGCCCAGCAATCAACTCCAGCAACACGACACCAAAGCTGTAAACGTCGCTCTTTTGGTCGACTTTCAGAGTATACGCGTATTCTGTCGTACAACAAAAGCACTATTAGGTCAATGGAACTATTAAAGCAACAAACGATAGGAGCCTCAGCTCACCTGGTGCAATGTAGCCATAGGAGCCTGCAACGGAGGACATGCACTCGGATGCATCAGCATCATGCAAGAATTTCGCCAGCCCGAAATCTGCAACGTGAGCTTCATAGTCCGAGTCGAGCAGAATATTATTCGACTTGACATCTCTATGAATGATGGAAGGCGAGCAATCGTGGTGCAAGTAACACAGCCCCTTCGCCGCTTCTACAGCTATTCTGTACCTCGTCTCCCACTGCAAATGGCCACCTTTGCTCCCATGCAACATCTCCCCTAAGCTCCCGTTCGACAGGTACTCATACAACAACAGATTCGTGTCATTGTTCTTAACATATCCAAGCAACCTCACTATATTCCGGTGCCTGATTCTCCCCAGGGTCTGAATTTCAGCCGTGAAGCCGCGATCTTGATGATCGCCAGTCCCTCGCCCGACGATCTTCTTGATTGCCACGTCCATGCCGTTTAGCATGGATCCTCTGTAGACAGTCCCGGCACCGCCTTTGCCTATTACATTCTCCTCCTTCAAACATTCCAACACATCTTTGGCTTTGAAGTCCAGTTTCTGGAACGCCGTGAGCTTAAAAGTTCTGGATCTTTTCATCGTTTCCGTTCGAATTATTACCCACACAACGGCGAAGGATAGTGTAACCGTGACCAAAATTACCATAGCTATTAGCATCTTTGAAGTGTGGTTCTTGTGAGAGCCTGGCGTTGAAGCTGAAGGACAGTATGTAGCATGGGGGGAACAGAGTCTTGGATTTCCGGCGAAAAGACGGTCATTGAAGAATTTCAACTGCCCGTTGATGGGTCTCCTGCCGGAGAGGTCGTTGTAAGAAAGATCTAAGACAGTCAAGCTCTGCATTACGCCGAGTTCACTAGGAATTGCGCCTCCGAGTTGATTTTGGGATAAGTTGAGTGCGTTCAAGCTGCGTAGCTTGGAGATTTGCTTTGGAATTTCTCCGGTTAGATTGTTGCCGCTCAAATCAACGGAATACAGCTCTTTGCACTGCGTGATCGAAGCCGGAATTTCGCCGGAGAGATTGTTGCCACTCAGATCCAACGTTACCAGCCTCTGTAATTCTGAAATTTGAACTGGGATTTCTCCGACGAATCTGTTGGAACCGAGAGATAATGTAACTAGATTCCGTAGGTTTCCTAGAGCAGGAGGAATTTTGCCGGCGAGCCAGTTGTTGGAGAGGGAAAGACTGGTGAGGTTCTTGGCTGAAAATTCCGTCGGAAGCTCGCCGGAGAAGTAATTGTCCCGGAGCTCAAGCAGATCAAGAGAGGGTAAAGCGAAGAATCCGGGAGGAATTGTACCGTTGAGGAAGTTCTTCATCATACGAACCCGAATCAAGGATTTGCAGTTTCCAAGTTCTTCAGGAATCGGTCCAAAGAAGAAGTTCTCCATTAAAATTAATATTTTCAACCTCCCTCCCATACACAAGTCTTTTGGTATTCTGCCGGTGAACCGGTTCGAAGCAAGGTCCATCTGCTTTAACCGGCCGTTTCGGCCCAGGTTTTCCGGCAATTCAAACGTGAAATTGTTGCCCCAAACCTGCAAAACTTCAAGGTTCGGATAGTCGCCTATAAACGGGGGAAGTGCACCGTGGAACTTGTTCCGGAACAGGTTTATCAACGTCATATTCTTCAGTTGAGCAAAACCTTCAGGAATTTCGCCGGTAAGTGCGTTGATGGAAAGATCCAGGGACATTAAACTCTCCAAACCGGATAACTCCGCCGGAATACGACCAGTCAGATTGTTCATTTGCAGAAACAGAGTATTCAACAGCTTCAAGTTCCCGAGCTCCGGCGGAATTTCGCCGGAAAGGTTACACCCGCCAAGATCCAAAAGTCGAAGAGTGGTAATGGAACCGAGTTCCGGGGGAATGCCGCCTTCATACGTATTGAAATAGCCGAGGCAAAGCTCTTCAAGGTTGGGAAGCTTAGCCAGGCTCGGCGGAATTACGCCGGTGAGCGAGTTTCCCTGTAAGCCTAAGCTCTGCAAACTCTTAATCTCCGAGTAAGCTTCCGGTATCTTTCCGGTGAAGAAATTGCCTCCAAGTTTCAAAACCTTCAGCTTTCTAAGCTTCACAAACTCGACGGGAAGATTCCCGGTGAAGTCGTTGTTATAAACGTCAAACACTTGGAGCTCCACCATGCCAAGCAACACTTCCCGAGGGAAATCCCCGCCGAAACCGTTGGCCGACAGATTAACGAATCTAACGGACGAGAGCTTCGCCATCTCCAACGGGAGCGGGCCGGTGAGGTTGTCGGAAACAAGAGTCAAGCTCACAAGCCTATCCAAAAGCCCAATCTCCGGCGGGAGAGTACCGTAGAGCGGAACATTCGAAATGTTCAAGGAAACCACACGTGAATCCCCGTCGCATGCAACCCCGGAGAAGGAGCAATGCACGGCAGCAGACGACGAGTTCCCGGCGGCCCAATCACCCAGTCCGAAACTCCCCCGTCCGACCATGGATTCTTTCATCTTCAACAGCACGTCGAGATCTGAGTAATACCCATGAATCATCGAAAACAAGAAGAAAAACGAGAAAAGATTAATCTTTGTCGCAGACATGATTCACCGTAGAAAACGAGCGGAGTATGGGTAATGTTAGGTACGGTGTAGTAAGTGTCACTGAACTAGCACCTGTGTTGTTGGTGGGGAATTTAACGGAGAATCGAAGTATCCATCCAACCACTGACCAATATATATATATATAGGGAGGTTAGAACACCCCTATAAAACGTGGACACATTCAAAACCTTGCAATAATTATAAAATGAATCGTGCTCTTAAAAATTTTCAATAACCATAAAATACGATTATGAACTTTGATGGACAGTTGAGATCGTTCTTCACTTTTTTCAAGAGAAAGAGGTACTCATTTGATCATGCCTATACATAAACACATTAACTATCATAATTTACTCTAAAGTGATCTTAAATCTCAATTCTTACCCAAGAGCCACCCTATCAAACTCCTATACTGCTACTACAGAAAAACTTGTATGTTACTGGCACGGGCTTAGCTCAACGGTTCAGTAGACAATATTTGTGAAATTCGATCGCGAGGAGATTTCTTGTGCGGAGCGATATTTGGCCATGTCTGCTGAGTCATTGTGTCAGTGTGACGTCCTCCAAATGTTCGGTAAGATCGGGAAAAACTTGTGATGAGTTAATTTATAATGATCACATAAATAAAAATAAAAATTTTAAAAATGAGGTTCATAGGCATTTGAACGTGGGTGAAAACATGTAATGAATGAGGAGATTGTCTGGTTATAGGGCGAAATTAATGTACACTGATTTTGGGCAAATGGGGCTTTGACAGAGTTGGGCCCATCACAAAGGAAGTCAGCGTCGTTTCCCAAACGGACGCCATTCCCTCTGATTGCCACTTTGGCAGCTTCTCAAAAGTCCACTCCTCTTTTTGTTCTTTACTTCCTCACTTCGTCTCCATCCTCTAACTTATTAGGATTCATCATTATCATTGCCAATTCAATGCTGCTCAATATCTACTGCACGTTATCGCAGTTTTGTTTCTGTTCTGAACCATACAAATTTTAAGATTCAATCCATACAGTATATGATTCGGTACAAAGTTTAGTTAAAACCAAATACTAGTTATTCCGATTAGTTTTTAATGGAAGATATTATTCTCGTATTTTCAAGCATTATCTATTTATCCAATTAAAAGTGGGAACCAATCAATAGTTTCGTGTGAAACCTGGGTCGATTACGAATCATCCTTTGCCGAATCAGCCGCTGACTATGTGACTATGTTTATGGGTTCAATTGCTGAAAAAGGTGATTTGATGGAGAGGCACTTTGTGCTAAAGAAAAGGTTGGGAAATGGCAGCCAATGGGCAATGCTTCTCCTGAGTTAGACTATTGAAGATTTGAAGAAGATATTGAAGTCGGTGAGGTGAGCGGCAGAATTGATTCTTCTTTTTGGCCATCCGAACCAAACTTATAATCCACCATAAGAGGTGGATAAGGTTGCTGATTCTTGCACTCATTTATGTAAGGAAGTAATTTCAACATTTTTTTGAATCATCAACAAAGGATTTGATCTTATTTGGTTAAGAAACTACTAGCCATCTTAACTTAGTTATTAATAATTAATATAATTGACTGATTTACGTAAAAAATTCATGATAAAATTATTTCAACATAGTTATTTAAAAAAATTATCATCATACAAACTAACTAAAAAAATAACACACTAGTCCGCTTGCAATGTGTAATTATGGCACAAACTTCTTAATTCTATAGTATTATCTCTTTTACCTAAATTTCTTTATCAACATTTCATATCAAATACATATTTCATTGAACTTGATAGAGTAAATTTATCATCATCGAGTAAAAGTGAAAAAATTTATCTCAAGTCAACAATCTATTCATGTTAATTTTACAAATGAGTTTCATTACCTGTACTCCCTATTTCTACTCTATTACTTTTACTCTTCTGATATGACTACGGATGATTAGTTATCTTAATCTTGTGAATCCAAAAATATATATCATCAAAATTTTGTGAGAGTAAAAGTTGATAGTAGAATTTAGAAATATAAGTTGTATTTTCCTTCTACAATTGTCTAAAAAGTCTTCAAAAACACATAAATGTACTACTAAAACATCATAAGCAGAAAATTATGACTTAGAACAACTACAATAGTAATTTTTGCTCAATTTTTTATAAGATTATGGCTGAAGTGAAAAAAAGAGAAAGATGAGAGAGAAAATGTGAGAGATCTCTCAAGTGGATCCTATCAAATATAAAACAGCGGCACGTCATTTCTCGCGCGAGGCACAACAATAACCCTCAGCTAAGCACATTACCATAATTTTTTTATTATTTTTTTTAAAGCTCATTCTTTTTTCTTCAATCCTTCTCTTCCATGTGACATTTTAAAATTTGTACATAAAAACAACTATTAAGAATGCTCTTTTAAGTTTTCAAAAAAAAAAATGCTCTTGAAACTTAAAAGATGCTCCACATAAATTAGTGTAGTTAAATCCTTACTATTATGTCCCTATGTGGATTAATTGGTTGCTTACAGTAGAACCATTGAAGATGTCTGGCAGTGAGACTGCAAGTCATTGTAGAGTAAGCTAAGCACAGTCTATAGACAAAGACCCCCATTGTAGCAATGATGACCCTGCATACTTTTCTCTGTAGATGGATTGAGGATCACAAATTTCTTTGCTGTCATTCCGATCAACGTACGCCTTTACGTCTACTTTACCCTATCTTTTTCGTCTCCTGCGTAGTACTATACGCATTCGCCACCCCAGAAGCCCAGATTGGAATTCGACTGAAAGAATGAAAGAAAGAAAGAAAAGATAGATGATTTGATGGATCGGATCAAATGCAGACTCAGAACACTAAATCCGGGTTCCGATGAATATCTGTTTCCAGCTTTTGTTATAGTGCGTTTTCATCGGCCATGATAGAAGAGAAGAAGAATAACTGGTTTCCATTACAGCGAAACATCAGAAAATTTACAGAGAGGAGTATATCAGTAACTCTGACGACGACTTGACGCCGTGCATTTACTACTTTGGCCCTATTTGGTAAAAAAATTGGCCTAATTGTTTAATTTAGTTAAAATATCAATATAAATATTTAGTTAATTAGCTTTTTGTAATTTCAAAATGTTAAAATTTAAAAAAACTACTCCAAACAACTTTTTTAATTAATTTTTTGAAAAAAAAAATTATATCAAATAACTATCAGTTAACAGCTAATTTACCAAACATTTTTCTACAATCAGCTAATGTTATTAACTATTTATACCCTCTAATTAACACAATCAGCTAACAGATATCGCCATTATACCAAACAGGGCCTTTATCTTTTCACCGTCCGACCGCTTCCTAACGGTGCCCACAGGTTACGGCTTTCCAACGTTGACACGTCCCATCAAACCGGGCAGTTCATTAATATGAAAATTTACGGTAGTTAAAAAAAAAATTAACCATATGAATTTTACCCAAAAAAATGTTTGTTCGAACCAAAATAGATTCATTTATTCTAAGACAAACAATACACAGTTTTCCTATACAGACAACAAGCAGCTATATGTCTCAACAAGAATGAGTTCATAAAGTAGAAACATTAAAGTAAAGAATAAGAAACATTGGCACACACACGTTGGTATGAAATTTTAAGGAATTTTTACAGCGTTGTACAACATAGTACTGGAGAATTGTGATCAAGTTGATGCAGTTCTCCATTGTAGCTCAATCTGGATTCGACCATTCTTGGAGTCAATAAGGTGGTATCGCTCATTGATTCTCTTATTGCTCACTACATCAGCCAGGGCTATATCCACATATCCCAGAGACTCCTGGAAACGCATATTTTTACCAGAAAACATGTTTACTTCCAGGTTGTTCAAACACAAGAAACAAAAACGAATGCGAAAAATGAGGTTGGAGATCATAGTACCTTAGGATGCAGCAGACCTATTCTGGATGAGTTGCTAAAAACTTCGACATGAAGCCTTTCATTAGTAGGTGGCTCCTCCAACATGAACTGAAAGTCCTCTCCCCATCTAGGATCTCGGTTTTTCTTGACAGTCTGCACGAAATATGGAGGTTAAAGATGAACAAAACTATACTTGTTGAGCATATAACCACCATTAATGTGCAATCCAACCATCAGCTTAGGTTTTTAGTTGAGATGGAGCACATGCTTCAATATATCAGAGTCAGACCAAAGGTTATGGGTGATAAGCAACTACGGTCCACGTGTTGCTTGGAACCCACCACACTTGAGATGGAGCACATGCTATAATTGATTCTTCTACGATAACATATTTTTTACTACCAGGAAGAGCATTATACCTTAGTTTTTTTCTCCTCTCCTTTGAAGAGCAAACGAACGAATGGATTTGTGTGGTGCTTCCCTTCGAGGTCCTGAGCTTCGTGGACGATGACTACTAGCAATCCACCACCGGCAGGTGTTCCTTCGGGAGCCTTCTCTACTTCACCTCCCGACTCATCAACATCATTTGGCATTTCCTCGTCTGTAAAAGGCTTGTACATTACTTCAAGAACTATCTGTCCTCGCGACTTCTCGTTTATAGGATCATTTGGATCCAGGGTTTTCAGAAGATTCAGCGTCAGGACTTTAGGTTCTTCGGGAGTAAGATCTTTCAAAGGAACAATATTTATGCCCATCATTTCATTCGTACCAATCTGTAAAGAAGACGATTAAAATCAACAGTATAATGCAATATGTCATGTATCCTACACTTTGATTACTAAAGGCATACATACCTGTTCCCAGTCATAGACAGAAATGTCTAAAGCTTGGGATTGCGGATCCTTAACGACAAAATTGAATTCCTCATTCCATTCGGGATTCAAGTTTCTTTGCTTTACACTCGTTTTCTTTCTAGGAAGTTTATCCTCAGTAAGCTTGAGTTTGACATAGGGATCTGAAGACCCCAAAAGATCTTTCTTCTTCAGATTCATTGCCTTCACAACCTTCACATGAAGAATTCCAACCGGCCTCTTGCTTGCCCTTTTCAAGGTTCGAGAAAGGACGTGTTACTATAAAGACAGACATATATGGTTCTCAATTAACGCCATTTATAATGAAATATAAGCTCACTTGGAAGGATCCATTATTGGGACCTCGAGAGTTTTTGGCCACAGGTACATATTTGCAACCTGATCTTTAATAATTTCCTGGAATAAAAGAAATGAAAATTCATATTGATTCAATCTGTACAGTTAATTGCTTAACTTTACAATTTCATATTCAAGAATCATTTTTTTGTCTAAGGGGAAAATTAAACAAGACAGTTAAGAATCAAATATAGACCCATACCTGAACTACTCGGTAAAGGCCAGGAATTGACATAGCATCAGCTCCCAGCAATTTCAGTCCAAAGTCAACATGGGGCTGCAAGAAAAAACGTAGCTTTAGAGTTCATCTTGAAGATAAAAGCATTGCTTCTATATTTGGTTTGCTGAGAGTGATTATGCAGAAAGAAAAAAAAAAAAAAAAAAAAAAAAACCAAGTGGCTTGTAGTCCACTGGTATCGGATTGCTCCCTTAAGTGGGAGGTGTAAGGTTCGAACCTCAATTGAGGCAATAGTGTGTATATGTAGGGTATCCCCCTTCCTTATAATAATAATAAAATAAAAAAAAACAAAAAAACCCTTTTCCCTTTTCTCGAAATGGATATTGATAGAGAGGGTATATTCAACCTTCAAAATTGTGAAAAGACATTTCATTCCTAGACAATTATCAAAATTTTTGATTCCCAAACAGTAATCATACTTGTTCACTTCCCTTTTAAAACATTATCGATTATAATGCAATTTTAAGAATAACACTCACCTTCTCCATGAGAGAAACCAGTATTTTTGCGAAACATGGGAAGGTTGGAACCAGTGGCTTCAGTGTAATACGCGGGCAAGCAAATACTTGCAGGTCAAGCACCTGAAATACTCCAAAAAGTTTCAAACTTCACATTTGTAATTGCAGCAATTTTCCGTGCATATGTAGATGGACAAATGATATGAATTTGATTGGTTCATAACAAATCTTAATTTCAGTGACAAAGATGAATCTTGAGCGAAGACCACTAAATTCTTTTAATTGTGCCAGTACCTGAGCAGTGGCTTTGAGTCCAAATGCCTTGATTGCAACAAGGATGTTAGGGTTACCTGCCCACTTCAAGGCTAGTTCCATTATCAGTTCCTTCTCCTCAGTGGAATAAACTTTCATTCCTATCATCAAAAAGAAAGTCAAAAAAAAAGACACTATCATTCCCGATAACACACAGAAGAAATGGTCTGGAGATAAAACAAGGAAGAAAGAGAGATTGCATCTACAGCTTATGAAAAAAGGGCAAAACGGATGGTTAAAAAAAAAAAAATACAAACTTTTGAAATGTCAAGTGACTGGAGTGTAGTTGACAGTTGTCAACGATAAATGTGAATATAAAGATCTTGCGGTGGGATTTAGCTACCAATTAAAAAAAAAAAAAGGCCAACATCCTCATCCTGCTAAATAACAATTCGATTATTGGAGCTCCCACAAAGATAACCATATCATCGAAGCATTTTTCTTCCAAGAATTAACGAGAATAGCTCAGCTTCCCAAAGAGAAGATGCAATTGAAAAGATATATATCACAGGGTTTAGAACCAGGAGAAGCAGCTCAACCTTGAAAAGTAGGAGGCAGGCAGCCCAGAGTAAGCGCTTCAAATTCAACCGACTCAATTTTGTACTTGGGTATTTGCTCAGCTATTATAGGCGTCGCTATCTGCTTCACTTGCTTGCAAATTGCCTGAAGACGACGTTTACACATCAATACTCAATCCAGTTAACAAACAAGTTTGTCGAGAGTGTTCACAGAATCAAACCTTGTCCAAATAAGGCCACATCAATTCAACAAACTTATTAAGCCAATCAAGCTGCATTGAAGTTAGTGGGAAAAAAAGCAGTTAGAATATGCTACAAGAACAAGAGAAATGAATGCACAAAGTAGAACAGTATATCAAGAACATACACGATCAAAATCTGGATTTTTCACCCAAAGGGGTATCTCAGGCATCAGCTTTTGAAGACTCTTAGAATCTTTCTCGGCCAAAGGACGAATATCAGGGTCCTGCAGAGGACAACCTTAAAAATTTACGACAACAGGATAGAATATATGCAGTTGCAGACTACCCAAATGCAGAATCAAGTTAAATTATGCAAACATTCCTGATAGCATTACCAAACAGAAATCATATGAACAAGGTAAAGATCGTATTTTTTTGCTGTAAAATGATCTAATTTTAGAATATCAAGGTCCTGCAGAGGACAACCTTAACAATTTACGACAACAGGATAGAATGTATGCAGTCACGGAGTACCCAAATGCAGAATTAAGTTAAATTATGCAAACATTCCTGGTAGCACTACCAAACAGAAATCATATGGACAAGGTAAAGATCATATTTTTTTTGCTGTAAAATGATCTAATTTTAGAATATCAGGGTCCAGAAGAGGACAACAGGATAGAATATATGCAGTTGCAGAGTACCCAAATGCAGAATTACTTTAAATTAAGCAAACATTCCTGGTAGTACTAGACAGAAATCACATGGACAAGGTAAAGGTCATATTTTTTTACTGTAAAATGATGTACTTTTAGTGAACTGAAATGTGCTTCGAGGGAATTAATAAAACAACTGAAAACTAACCTTAACATCAGTAGGCTGGAAGTAGATGAACATGAAGTACCCAATCGCAAGCCCAATTGAGATCCCAATTCCAAACCCAAAAAACCCCATTACAGTGCTTATGAAACCCATCTCAGATCTTCTTCGAAATCTCCGCTACAATTCTCTGCAAAACCTTCCACAAAAAAGTGCCCTTTATTGCAGAAGAAGAAGAAGAAGAAGAAGAAGAAGAAGAAGAAGAAGAAGAAGAACAGAAAAGGAAAGAGAAGAGAAGACAAGACTTTTGCTGGCTTCCAGAATCAAGATGCCATCACCACAACACAGTTATTTTTCCGCCATGATTTTACGATCCAAGAAAATTTAATGCTTACCCTATCCTTTGCACCCACCCAAAAATCAATACACATGTATAACTATTAACGGCTTATTGGGTACGGAGTAGAAAAAGACGAAGCATGGTTAGGGTCATCACAGTTTCGCAAACCGGCCTGTCGGTAACGGTTCCTCTTCTCTTATTCGCGCTAGTGTTTGTGGGAGTCCACGAGAGTAAGACAAAGGTTGATGATTGGCTGAACATGTCCCACATCGGATAAAATAATTGCCTCAGATATTTGCATCTTGTCCCATAAAAACTTTTTCATTTACTCCAAATTAAACTAGTGGTTTCAAATTCTTTTCTTTTCTTTTCTTTTCTTTTTTCAATCTCGATAGGATTATCCCAAATTTAGTTAGGACCACATCCATAAAATTTGACTTTTTGAGATGTTTAGTTCACGTAATATTACCTTTATGTAATAAGATTATATCATTAAAATTAAGAGTTAATACCCAAAATCGTCCTCGATTATAGTGGTTTTTCTCAATTTCGTCCTAAACGACTTTGGTGACCTAATATCGTCCCAGACTTTTGTGTTTCGCTCAATTTAGTCCTCCATTTGTTATTTCGTCAAATTGGTGTTAAATTAAGGGACAATTCAGTAATGTCAATATTGATCTCTCTTTACTTTCAACTTGTGAAGTGCGAAATTCCTCTTTCTTGTACGAATTACATCCAGAATTACTCCCGGACCTGCAAATCAAATTTTATATTTGCAGTTTTAGAAGTAATTCTGGGAGTAATTTGTAAAAAAAAAAAAGATTTCGCAGTTCACATGTCTATGAGTAAAGAGATGCCAATATTAAAATTACTGAATTGTCTATTTATTTAACACCAAATGGACAGAATAACAAATGAGAGACTAAATTGAGCAAAAACACAAAAGTCTAGGACTAAATTGAGCGAAACAAAAAAGTCTTGGACGATATTAGGTCACCAAAGTCGTTTAGGACGAAATTGAGAAAAACCACTATAGTCGAGGACGATTTTGGGTATTAACTCTTAAAATTAATATAAAATTACTTTATATTTTTGGTTTGTATTGTTATTATATAATAATATTACATTGTTTGGTTGAGCGTTATAACAAGTTACTTTGAAATTGTCTGTCTCTCTCGAAAAAAATTTCTCCCTCCTCCCTTTTACCCCAACCCTTCTTCCATTCTTTTTCCTTTTCTCTCTCCCCTCTTTTTTATCCATTGAAAATGCTCTTACATAGAAATGACTTAAGTCATGACATCATTCCCGCAAAATATGAAATATAGCTTTTTTAATATAACATACCCTTAGTATAAGATTGATTTAAAATTCGATTAGAGTCCTGTATACAAAGTCTAACTCTTATTTGGAAAATGTTTGAGCCATGTAACTAAAATTCGAGTCTTTTTTAATAAAAAAAAAGGCATACCTCTATATATATATTTTAACATTGCATTCTACTTGAATTTTTTTATTAGAATCTAATTCTAACTTAAAAAACTTTGCCCGAACGTTTCTCCGACTAACTAGTTTTTTAGGAAAAGTGCAGTTTAAAATTCTTTAATATAACACAACATGCTCTTATAATAATTTATCTTCTAACATTATAGTTATTTTGGAGAAAATTATTGTCCTGTTTGGTAAATGGTTGTTAGCTGATAGTTGATTGGGATAATTAGAGGGTATAACTAGTTGATAACATTAGCTGATTGTATAAAAATGTTTGGTAAATTACCTATTAGTTGATAACTGTTTGGTATAAATTCTTTTCTCAAAAAGTAAATTGAAAATGTTGCTTTGAGTAGCTTTTTGAATTTTAGCATTTTAGAATTACAAAAAGGTAATTAACTAAACATTTATATTAATTTTTTAACAAAATCAAAAACTTAATAGTGATCAAATAAGTCATAATTAATCTATAGGCTAACTATTTTACCAAATAGGGCCTATATTATATATACTTATTTGGTATAAAATATAGAAGAGTTTTTGCGCAATGATGAATCAAAGGGAGGGTGAATTGGTCTTCTTGTTCATTACGAAATGCCGACTACTTTGTCTAGGGACAATCCCAAGGATGGTCGACAAGAACACGAGGTAAACACGTAGTAGTGTACAAATGTAACCAATTAAAAAGTGGGACTTTTCCATATGTTTATAATCAGATATTCAGATAGAGATTGTGAAAAGATATGTTTAGGTAGTTTTGTCTAAAACCCACAATTGGACTTGACAAATATAGTCCAGCAAATCATAGAAGTTTACCTCCTTGTCATTTGAAATCATACAATGTCTCATATTCCACCACAAAAATGAACAACCAACTTGTACCGTTTGTCTATTCACTCAACTAATTTTTACATTCAAGCATGATTCATGTTGCAATTTTTGAAAACAAATTTACTCCAAAATGGGTGCATGAATGGGTGGAATATTATTTTTTGAGTTAATACCCAAAATCGTCCTCGACTATAGTGGTTTTTCTCAATTTCGTCCTAAACGACTTTGGTGACCTAATATCGTCCCAGACTTTTATGTTTCGCTCAATTTCGTCCCATACTTTTGTGTTTTTGCTCAATTTAGTCCCTCATTTGTTATTCTATCCATTTGGTGTTAAATAAATAGACAATTAAGTAATTTTAATATTGGCATCTCTTTACTCATAGACATGTGAACTGCGAAATCCTTTTTTTTTTTACGAATTAGTCCCAGAATTACTCCTAAAACTGCGAATATAAAATTTGATTTGTAGGTCCGGGAGTAATTCGTACAAGAAAGAGGAATTTCGCACTTCACAAGTTGAAAGTAAAGAGAGATCAATATTGACATTACTGAATTGTCCCTAAATTTAACACCAATTTGACGGAATAACAAATGGAGGACTAAATTGAGCGAAACACAAAAGTCTGGGACGATATTAGGTCACCAAAGTCGTTTAGGATGAAATTGAGAAAAACCACTATAGTCGAGGACGATTTTGGGTATTAACTCATTATTTTTTGTAATAAAAGATTACGAGTTCTGATAGATACCCGCGTGAGGTACTCTTTGGTCTTAAATTGTGTATTTTTAGTATTGAAATTGTAAACTTCTAGAATATAAATTGTGTTTCCAAGTTTTGAAAATTTGTAAATACAATACAGAATCATCGCAAATTATGAATTAAAAAAAAAAACTATAAACATTTAGTATATAAATTATGTATATCTTTAGACTCGAGTCCACCCCACGTAATAATTTGCCCAATTCCACCATGCCAGAACAAATCACAGTCCAAGGTCAGGCCCAACATCAGGCCAAAAATGATGGGCCTCATTCTATCACTAATGAATGTCGAATCATCAACGCATTTGTGCCCACATGCTTTAAGCCTTTAAAGTCAGCAAATTATGTCGTGGAAACGTGTTCACCATGTTTGGTGAACACAGTCCTAAACGATATTATTTTTACTGAAAAAATAAATTTAGTTAATGTGTTGTTAACAGCGTTTTGCATTATATGTTCAGATTATGAATTTACATTTATTAAATTATGAATTTTCTGTTATGAGATTATGAATTTACAGTTATGTAATTATGAATTTTCTGTACATTCATAATCTCATAACAGAAAATTCATAATCTCATAAAAGAAAATTCATAATTTCATAACTGCACATTCATAAATCCATGCATGTACATTCATAATTTATGAGTGTTGAAGAAATTTGTGCGAAGAGAAAGTGAAACCGTAAAATGTGAATATGAAGAAAAAAAGTCACGCTGTTATAAAAAAAAAAAAAAAGATTGGTGGAAGATAACGGTGCCCGTAGGCACCATTACCGTTTGGGACCGTGTTCACTATGGATTGTGAACACAATTCCATGGCATAACGATTGATAATAAATGGGATTGATTCTTTAAGATGAAAAGATTGGAAAAGTATAACACACATAAATAAAAGGAAAAAGAAAGATAAGAAAACTGAATTAAAGAGGAAATTAGAGTTGGAATAGGGCATGGACTACTCATTTGGCCGGTGCCTAATATATCCAATAAAGTCCGTGGTCGGTTTTGAATTTACTACTTTGGTTTTGCAATGAATCATTTTATATGGACCAAGTACATGCTAGTTTCTACTTTTCTACGAGCATTATTTGTTTCTTTTTATAAGATTATAATTATATTTCCATATAGTCATCTCATTTTATAATAACAAATAACAAATAAATATAAAACACAATGCTAAAATATAATTATTTTTCTTTATATATCATTTCAAACATGGTATGAAATCACATACCACTAAATTTTTTACTAAGTTAAAATTGTATTATTATTAACTAACTTAACAATTTATGACCGTCATTAAATTACTAATGTAAATATAAGGTCAAAGAAATTCATATTAGTCTTCATTTATAATATTTGACCCGAATTGAATATATTAACAATACTTTCACATGCAATATATATATATATATATATATATATATATATATATATATATATTACTACGTATTATATTGCCGTAGATGGTGGGCAACAAACCCTACTTTCGGTGCTCTCATTCATAATTCTACATACTTAATTTCCGTAGCCAGCTTTTGCCCTACACCATCCAACCAAATTAAAACACCACCATAACGTTAGAGCTGGTGATCGAGTGGATGTAACATGATTTTCGTATCTAAATATCACGATTCACGAGAATTTGGATCAAATGCAGATGTATTAACACTAGTTTAAAATCATTACGTAACCTTCATAACAGACAATTAATCTGGAATTAACAGAGCGATTACAAATGTAAACTGATAAAAATTAATGCGTTCCAGAATGATACATTAAAAAATGAAACTCGAATGTTACATCAAGAAGTGAAAACCCACTTCGGCATAAAAAATTATTATATCCGCATGTGATCTCACCTATGTAACAATAAACAATTATTATATTAGAACATGAACGTATAGTTCATGTTAATATGACTTATTTAAACCATATAAAATTAAACCCCCTGCTGCATGAATTAAGCCATAAATACAGTTCACATACCTAATTTAAATGTCAATTAAGGAAACAAGCTAAGGAAGCTGCTAAGATGAATATAATACAAAAGATTAGATCGGGCGTCGTCGGTTGCCGGCCAACAGTACGACGTGCATGCCAACAAGAATGGTTGGTCTATCTACTGGTTGGCCTAGATTCTGCTGATGTGGTCGCTGGTCGGCGATCTAATTTAATCAAGATATTTATACACACATATATACATGCACGTACAATAATATGTTAATTAATTCAGCATGTACAAATACAAATTAATTAAAACCATTGTCCTGGTCACAAAACGTGGTTGTGTGGTTTATTAAAAATCTACCAATCAAGAAATCCAAAAATATAAGTGGCGGGCATAACCGCATAATCTAGTGAGATAAAAATTAGGAATAAGGGTCAAATAGATCACTCAACTACACACTAAACTGTAATTGAGTTATCAAACTAAAAAATCATGCAATTGGATCTATGAACACCACAAACTCATGCAATTCAACCCAAAATGATATGTTTACCTGAAAACATGCTGACCTGACAGTTACCAAATTTAAAAATATTAATTCGGTAACTGTCAGCATGTTTTCAGATAAACATGTCATTTTGGGTTGAATTGCACCATACCATGAATTTGTGTTGTTCAGGACCCAATTGTATTATTTTTTTAGTCCAATGACTCAATTGCAATTTGGTGTACAATTGAGTGTCTTATTTGACCATCATTCTTAAAATGTTAAAACAAGATAAATCTTAGTAACGCTGGAAATATATATAATGATGGAAAGGACCCACGTGATGTGGTTGAGTTGAACTTTTGAAATAGGATTATAAAGTAAAATTAAAAAGGGGTTAGATAGATAATAGGGTTAGCCAATAGAGTGAGGTTATCATCAGGATGCTTCATTCTATTTAAAGAGCAGTGGATTATTGCCATCCAGAAAGCTAGAGGTTAGTTTCTGGTACGTAACTACGTACGTAAGTGGAGCTAGCTTAGGCTGCAGTAGTAGTAGTTAACTAGTTATGTTTCATTCCTCCGATGAAGACCGATCAGTCTTGCCACCTTACTACTACTACGTTAGCAACTCCAAAGAGATGATAAATGGAACATCTTTGATCCCAAGATTTGGTTCTGGAAATTTGGGTCCAGTTTTGCAGCCTGCGGGGGGGCGGTTTCGTCATCTTTCTCTCCCACCATGTTTACCACTAAACCAATCTCTTCCTCCTAATTATTTATCGCCGCTTCATCATCAGTACCACCGGCAGCCGCCACTTCTTCCTCTCCCACTTTCCAAACCCCAAACTGGTTCTCTTTCTGGCCCTCTAACCACTAATACCAAAACCTGCAGATCAGACCCTCGTAAGAAATCCAAGAAAAAACTAAAGCAGCCCTCCTGCAGCAGAAACCCCGGCGGCAAACAAGAAACAGCCTTGAAATCTGATAACACAAAGGTGTTATTGGGTCTGTCTAAAAACCAGCTTCCCAGTAATAAAGTTTCCCATAACGCAAACGTTATTAGTACTACAAGCGGCGATGGTTGTGTTAAGGAAATAGATGAACAGTACGATGTGGTTATTGGACTTGACGACAAGTTTTCAACCCGTCGTGATCGTGATCGTGCGGTGTTTACGCTCTCTCCTCCGCCGAGCAGTTTGCCTTTTCCCACTTTTTCATTGAGGCCAAAGCTCCGCCGCTCTGCTCCGCCTGCCGGAAATCCGGATCAGCAACGTAACTGACAATCTCCGATCCGTCGACTTCCTCCACTACTCTCCGGTCAATCTTGTACTGTTAGTTCTTAATTATTTCTGTTACGTTGATGACAAACTTTCATGGTATAGTACGTACCAAAGTTTTAGGTTCATATATGCATCCAGGCCGGCATAATCGTCATATCAAGCTAGCCGCCAATACTTTTTATTCTGGGACTGGCTAGCCTGGGTCCTGGGGCTGCCAAAACATAAATCAAGGTTGTCCGTCGTTCCAATATAATGTACTTCTTGATATGCAATTTTCTCAAGAAGAAATTAATAGTATTCTCACAGTATATGTTACATCATCGATATTTAATTTTGTTCATACCCATTAATATTTACCTTACTAATGGAAAATAAGCAATTCCTAAGATAATATGGTAAATGTGTGTCATTTCAATTATTTAATGATATTTTTTTTAAAAAAAAAAATCTCATATGCCTAATAACATAGGATAAATACTAATCATTCTTGTTTGTTAGGCAAACGATATGATATGATCCCACGACTTAAATTTGGGGAGTTACCCAAATTATTTGAAAAATATTTTTCTCAGGCACGTTTGAATAATTATCATTAATACTTCCATTAGGAAATGAATTCCTAGTGAGAAATATAATGGAGTATGGTGCAGTGACAAATGGCAAGTTAGTAGAATGTAGATGATACGTAAATTATTCTATGGACATGGGTTTAAATGTTCACAATTTACATACTAAATGTTTATAATTTACCTTTTAAAAATTTACAATTTCTATATTATGAACATACAATGTTAATTATATGTAATTGATTATCTTGCTTTGTATTCACAATTCTTTTCTACAGTTGTTATGTGTTTTGACTTAGAAACACAATTTATATTCTAAAAATTCACAATTCTAATACTAAAAATACACAATTTATATGTCATTTAGAATTAAGGTCCACCTTGTAAGGTAAACCTGGTCCATGGTATATAGTATAATGACTCTAGATGGTAGTGGGTAAAAATAAAAATAAAAATCGAATCATGATTCATGGAACTAATTGGGCCCAATGCATAGGGCTGAGCCCAACTCCAATTTCTTGCATATTTTCAGGCTCTGACAAGAAAATGGATATATACTTTAACATAAGGCCATTAATTAGATTGTTTTTCAATTTTGATCTCAAAGAATTGAAGAAGAAGATGGATGATTCATTTGGTTTTTTTTTTTTTTTTTTTTTTTTTTTTTTTTTTTTTTGGCTTATTTGATTGATTGAAGCAAGGTCAAGTAGTTCGATCTCCCATGCAATGATGAAGACGTACTTTAGAGTGTCACTACCTGCCCACACCATACTATCTATATATGGCTCCCATCCAATTCGATCTTTGATAAAATGAATGGTTGATCTTTGCCCTTGTGGCCTGGATAGGTAAGCATTAATGGGAAGTGACACAAGAAGTCATCAATGCTGTACACTAGAATGAGACTTTGTCACTGATAGACAAACTATCACACTTCGATCCCTCATATTGACCTTGTTTGGTTAATAGCGGATCCGCCATGATTTTGACGGATTCACTAATTTTAGTGTTTTGACTTGATCAAAACGCTAAAACCTTTGTTTGGTTAGACAGCGGTTCGAAACAGCGTTTTTGCTCCGAACTGCTGAAACTCAACCGCTGCAAATAGCAGCATTTGGGTTTGGCGTTTTGGGGTGTCTTTTCCCAAAACGCCCTTGATTAGTTAAAAAAAAAATAATAATAATAACTATTATTAAGTGGGACAACATCGAATGGGAAGAAAAACTTAAGTGGTCTTGAGGCTCCTTTTATAAAGGAGCCTCAAGGCCCTCCAGTGTTATCCCACCGATATGGGATAACACTGAAATACAAAGGGGAGCCAATTTGGCTCCCCTTTGTATTGTGTTTTTTTTTTTTTTCAACAACAAAACTACAACTAATAATTATAATAATAATAATAATAATAATAATAATAATAATAATATAATTATAATTTCGTATTATTATTGTAGTTATTGTAGCAATGTCCTTATATGTCTTTTTACACTTCAACCGCTAATCTAAACAGCTAATTTTACCAAACATTTTTTTTTACAAACCGCTTATACAATACGCTGGTCAAACCCGCTAATACAATCCGCTATCTAATAACCGCTAACACAGTCTGCTACCTCTAACCGCTGATAACCAAACAAGCCCATTATATGCACAAATGCATTATATTTACCCTTTTTGGTAGCATAGTTAACTTATCAATCAATTTTGATTTATTTAACAATTATTAATTATTTAACTTGGCTAAACAATCACATATTAAGTGTTTAATTAACTAGTATTTGCGCCCGTGCGTTGCACGGAATGAATTTGTTATAATATTTTATAAATATTTAGATCGATATACAATTGTATAAATTATAACATCGAATATTATATAATATAATTAAAGAATTGAGTTGCACCGATTATGTTTTCTGATGTAATCAATGCTTGAATTTGAGTAAATAATTGCCTAATTAATAGCTAACGTGTAGATATACGCATTCGGTGCTGCAACTTTAGAGATTTTATATATCAGTGTTTAGAATTTGTATTAATTGGGCTAATTAGCTCGTTGTCTAGCAATTCAGTTATATAAATTATTTATACGGAAGATATATTTTCTATGTAGATATATAGCAATTTTGTCATCTTTATATATAAAAAACCATAATATCAATGACTTGAATTATACATTATTGAAAATCTCTTTGTAGACAACATTGGTAGTAGTAACACAATTTTATCCATCCTCGTCTAGAGTTAAAATCACCAAACCATCAGGATGGGTGACTCAGGAAAAAGTCACATACAATTAACCGTGATTAAAGACTGATTTTTTCAGTAATAACTCAACGTGAGTTAGTGTTTGACCCTGACTTTTGTTGATAGTCGTGGCATATGCGAGCATCAACATGAGTTGTTTTCGTTAGAACTTGAAGGGCAATCTCGTATTAGAAGGGTGAAAGACATTTTAATTGAAGATTTTACTTTTATTAATAGTATAAATATAGATTGGTGTCAATAATAATTAATAAATTATTATTTCCTTATAAAATTACATAAAATTTCAAATGGATTTTTTCATTTATTACGCAGAATTTGTTTCTGTTATTCTTACAATTATAATGGTTTAATTATTCTCAAAATTTGATAACCATTTTTCTTTTTTAAGTTGACTTTAATTTGTGATAAAAATTCATTAGATATTGGTTAATTTTCATATAAAATTTTGTTACCAATTAAGCTTTATTAATTTTTTTTATCAATTAATTAATATTCACATTAATGTGGGCGGAAATGTTGAAGATGTGAATTTTACTTTTATTAATAGTATAAAGTAAATAATAATTAATAAATTATTATTTCTTTATAAAATTACGCAAATTTCGAACGAATTTTCTCATTTGTTACGCAGAATTTGTATCCATTATTTTCACAATTATAATAATTTAATTATTCTCATAATTTGGTAACCATTTTCTATTTTTATGTACATATTGACTTTAATATGTGGTAACAATTCATTAGATATTAGTTAATTTTTATATAAAATTTTGTTACCAATTAAGCTTTATTATTTTTTTACTAATTAATTAATATTCATGTTAATTTGGGCTGAAATGTTATAAATGAGGATTTTACTTTTATTAAAGTCATTTCACTAAGAACCTGGAGTTTGTGGTTGAGTGGAAGGGACACATCCATCCTTATTAACCAAAGGTGAGCAACTTTAAATCTTCAGGCCAAAGCATAAATGATATTGCAATAATTAATTTATTTATGATCATTGGTTCACATATTTGATTTATTTATTTTTTCTTTAATTATTCTCGTTGTAAACATAAATGATATTGCAATAATTAATTTATGATATTTAGCAAGTTGTATTTTTTTTTAAATATAAAATTTTCTCATGTTTAGGGATTAAAAAATATTTTAGAATTATTTTTATTAGTAAGTAATTTTATTTTTAAAATATTTTTCAGCAACCCAAACACTCCATTAGTCTATAATAAAAAAAATGAAAAATAAAAGTTATTTCATTAAGAAAATTAAAACTAATTAAAGTAAATCTAATCATGCTATATTTATTTGTAACTGTATATTAATTTCATTTTGAAATCAGTGGTTAATATCTTTGAATTATTTATATTTTTTTTCAACTATTATAAACAAAAATTATGATACTTATCAAATTGTATTTAAAAAAAAAAAACATTTACACATGTTATGAGGGATTAAAAAATATTTTAAATTATTTTTTATTAGTGTGCATTTTTATTTTAAAATATTTTTCAGCAATCCAAACACTCCCTTAGCCTCCCATCAAGAACGGATAAAGAAAAGTCATTTCATTAAGAAAATTAAAACTAATTAAAATAAATCTAATCATGCTACATTTATTTGTAACTCTATATTAAGTTTATTTTGAAATATTTGGTTCACATATTTGAATTATTTTTTTTTCTTTAACTATTATAAACAAAAATTATGATATTTATCAAATTGTATTTTTTTTAAAAAAAATATAACATTTACACATGTTATGAGGGGTTAAAAAATATTTTAAATTATTTTTATTAGTATGCATTTTATTTTAAAATATTTTGCACTAATCCAAACACTTCCTTAGCCTCCCATAAAAAATTGATAAAGAAAAGTCATTTCATTAAGGAAATTAAAACTAATTAAAGTAAATCTAATCATGCTATATTTATTTGTAACTGTATATTAATTTCATTTTGAAATCATTGGTTCACATATTTCAATATGTTTTTAATTATTATAATTTATAAACAGAAATAATATTGTACTAATTAATTTATGATATTTATCAAATTGTATTTTTTAAAAAAATATAAGATTTACACATGTTATGAGGGATTAAAAAAATATTTTAAAATTATTTTTTATTAGTAAGTATTTAAAAAAAAAAATCACCAACTCAAACACTCCCTTAGTCTCCATAAAAAAACTGATAAAGAAAAGTCATATCATTAAGGTAATTAAAACTAATTAAAGTAATTGTAATCATGCTATATTTATTTGTAACTATATATTAATTTCATTTTCAAATCATTGGTTCCCATATTTGAATTATTTTTTTTTCCTTAATTATTATAAACATAAATAATATTGTACTAATTAATTTATGATATTTATCAAATTGTATTTTGTAAAATATAGTGTTTTACCGGGAAAATTTTTTGTTGTTATGAATTTAAAATTAAAATAAAAAAAAATAAAAAGATGTTAAAATGTACAATATAA